AATAGACACAAGCCCTAGCTTATTTAGGGAAAATTCCTAACATACTTTTATGTGCTAAATGATTTATGATATGCATTATATGATCGGATCTATGGTCTGTTGCCGACCGGATCTGGAAATTTTATGTGCTCAGGTTTCTAAACGTTTAATTACGATATTAGAACTGGCATGTAACTTTTTGGAGTAATAAGGAGGAATACGTGTATAATTCTTCCTCTATCTATATTCTCGTCTCGATACACCAAACGCTTGCTTTGGAGAATAGAATGTCATGATAAGAACTCATAGAGAATTGAGTAAGTGGAGGAAATGAAAAGGCTTACGATAGTGAATGACACCTATCAAAAGATATCATAAGAGTGGTATCTTGCCTATAAAATATGTCATGCAGTACGTTTAGAGGAGTACAGTACATCCGAAGTACACCTTCGATTGGCAGGATGATGGAATGATTGGCGTAATTCATGAAGCTGACCCATCGTATGGTATTTCCACCGAGCTGAAGCAGAATTGATGATTGAAGATACGCATAGAAGAAGTCCTAGTAGAGTCTAGGGAAAATTTTGTGATTGTTTGGACATATTTTTATGTGTTAAAAAATTGTTTTGTGATAATAACTTGGGAAACTACGAGACAATACTTGGGACGAGTATGAGTAGGTGTGAAAGGTAGTAGATGCATATACTACCGGAAGCACAGGACTCACGCTTGGATCAGGGAAAGTCACAAGGTTACCAAGAAGTCAGTAATTGATTTCGATTTATACAAGTGTGTTGTTACCATCGTTTCGGTAATGACTAAGATGATTGTTGATATTCCGACCCTAGTGGTCATATCAAATTGAGTCCGACTACGATGAGTATGTTATGTGGTTCAGAGAACCAAGATTGATGTAGCGTCCGACTTAAACCAAACGATTGAAATCAAAGCGATCAGTAGAAGTATCACAGTGGTTGCTAGAGATGCTACCTTTTAAGATGTGACTAGAACATGAAGGAAGGTATAGACTGTTCTGGAATTTGACTCTAAGAGACCTGAGTCTGAGCATTGCAACATACGATGAGAGGTCATTAGAATATGACACATCGGTCCATTGTATTAATAAAAGAAATTATCTTAAGTTCGTATCCAGTGAGGATCGCGATTGTGACTTGAAGGTCATAATTTGGAGTCTAACGTGAGATAGAGAACGTATACAAGATCGAGCACTGCCTGTAGTCAAGGAGTCTAAGAGTTAGATACACGTTCGAAGAAACATCGAAGTTATGACTTAGGATGAATATATAACAATCGGAGTCATCATGTGAGCCCTGTTTCGTTAATGATTCCGGGACGTAATCATCCTAAGGGGGAGATAATTGTAACGCCCGCAGATCTGGGCTAGTCAATTTAGAGGCAATAGGGGTCGAAAATGACTTTTCGACAAAAGATTATTTAGAATAAATAATCTTAACCAAGTTTTAGAATATGTCACAAGGTTTCCGTACATATAAAGAACGCTGAAATCCGAGTTATAACGAAGAAGTTTTGGCTCGTCGAAGTTTTACGGCAAAACCGGCACGACACCGGGAAGCATAAATAGTGAATTTACGATGGAGGAATTTTTAGCCTTAGTGATCTAAATGAAATTCGTAGAATATGTTAAACTAAGAGCGTCGATAAAAAGAACGCCCAAATCTGACTTCGTATGACGAAGTTATGATTTTTCTAAGACTCGGCTTAGTAGTGTACAGCCCGAAACTCGAATTTTAGTTCGAGCGGACTTTGGCTTACGCGACCTAAATGAGAGTTGAAGATCTCATTAATAGGAACTCAACGGTAAAAGGACAGATGAAAATGGAGTCCGTATGAAGGAGTTATGAATTCTTCGCGGTCATTTAATAGTCTAAACGCCTCCTACTGGTAAATTTGAGCTCGGTCGAGAATTAGCCAACGGAGTCTAAACGAAAGTTGTAGATCTTGATATTACCTACGCATGGTCATAAAGAACGTCGAAAACGGAGCTCGTATGCGAAAGTTATGATTTTTCTAAGTTTGAAGGCTGATACGCGATAGGGGGTGATGTGGCACCACCAGAATTGGACATGTGGCACCACCAGAAGTCCACCACATGGACCAACTCGACGAGTCATGACTCAGACTCGACGAGTCCATCATATTTCTCCCCTATAAATAGAGGTGCCGGGTTCCATTCATTCTCACACCTTCAAACCCTTCTTTCTCTCTCTAAACTCTCTCTCTAAGCCTCCCTAACCCCCTAAAGCCTAGGATAACTCCCTAGCACGAGGCGGAAGCCCCGGAGCGCCCGACAGCTCCGAGTAAACAGCCATTCGGCTCGGGAACACTGCACCAGCGAAGCCCGGTTTTTGAGAAAACCCCGCTGTAAGTGAGCTACGCCTAACCTATCTTTAGTTTAGCTTATGTTTTAATATAGGAATGTTATTAGGTCCTTAAAATAATTATTTGGGCTATTATTATGAGTTATATTGAGTGTTAATAACGCTTATATAACAATAATAATATTCAGATAATTAATTTGTCGTGGTTATCATTAGACTAAACCCAAGTGGTATTGATACTAGGTTTTATCAAAGGAAATTGTTTTGAGAGTATAGATGCGCTGTCCGAGTGTTGAGTCACCTATCAGGTGAGTGCATAGTCCCTTTCATGAACATGATTTTAATACAAGTATTGATTGAAGTATTAATTATATGTTTATGTGCGAGTTAATTGATGTTGCTTGAAATTCGTGTTATAGAACATACCTGATTATATTTGATAATTTAGGATAAAGAGTAGACCTAAATTAAATATGAGGAATATTAGGTAGTATATTCTTACGAGTACAAGTGAGTTAAACTCAGAGAATAGAAGTTAGTATATGTCACTTATCCAGGAGTATGGATTAGACATAGTCATTGTCTCTAGTCCGAGAATATGGATTAGGCATAATCATTCGTCATTAATCCGAGAGTATGGATTAGTCATTGTCCCTAGTCCGAGAGTATGGATTAGGCATAATCATTCATCATTAATCCGAGAGTATGGATTAGTCATTGTCCCTAGTCCGAGAGTATGGATTAGGCATAATCATTCATCATTAATCCGAGGGTATGGATTAGTCATTCGTCCCTAGTCCTAGAGTATGGAGTTGGTAAATTCGTTCATATCTGATCCGGGAGTATGGAGTAGGTAAAACGACTAATCTTAGGTCCGAGAGTATGGATAGCCTCGTTGCGAGGATCGACAGGATGGGATAAGAGTTGTTTATATATATGTATGGTGAAATTGTATATTTTGTGAATTTTAAACTATATATATGTTATAACATTGTGGGATTGAAATCCCTATGTACTCACCAGGTTTCCCAACCTGACCCACTCAGTTTATTTATATCACAGGTGTTCATATGATGTCACATTACACTGAGAGATCAAAGAGATGTAGATCACTAGTGTAAATAAATGTAAGTTTTGTTTATGCTTTTGTTCTTGTATTGACGATGACACCCCAAACGTTTTAAAATGAATAAAATACATTTCTTCGAAAATGTTTTAATAACGTATTTATCGTGTTTTTCTGGGAACGAATTTCGCAACATTTTTATTAAAAGAAGAACTCTGATTTTTATAAAGCATAAAAAAATCGGTCTTTTGTGGCCGTGAAAATGGGGATGTCACATAATGTCTAAGTCCATAACTGTAATTGGTGAGACTTGACCCGACCTGACATGGTCCATCTGGGTTGCATGGCATCATTCATTTGGATAGACTATAATAAGATAAATAACACTTAAGGTTTGTTAATATATTATAAGTTCTAATACATTAAGAAGGTTATTTAGTTAGTATTGATCAAGAATTAATTTGGAATTAATTAAGTGATCAAAAGGAGACTAATTAAATATATGGGTTCATTGTGTAAATCATTCATTCTTATATATGTGGGCTTCTGATCCAAGAGTCCTTATGTTGGACTAAGTCCATGGGGTGACCCATGGATACTCCATGAAGGTTAAAATCCATGGAGCATAAGGAATGGGTAAAGTTATGAGTTAAATGGTGTAACTCTAATGGCCACCATATAAAAGAATCCCATGGCTCAAGAAATCGGTCACTATGTGTGAGAATGAAGGGCTAGCCGATTTCATGAAGTGTGTATGTTCTCTCAATCTATTCCAAGTGTATTTGGTGTTGTGTGAACCATTAGAGGTGTCATACTTGGGGCACTAGGAACTCAAGCTTCATGAAGACTTTCTACATCAAAGAGGTATGTAATTCTAACTTGATATATTCTTATGAATCATGTTATTATGCTAGTTAGGGTGAATACCTTGGAAAGGTCATATTTGCATGTATAATAGAGAAAACATAGATCCAAGGTATTTAGGGTTGCATGTACACTTAGGAGTGTTAGAATGCTCAAAACCCAACAGTGGTATCAAAGCCTAAGGCTTTTTTTCTTGTTATACTTGCAAAATTGGCTAAAACACTACTAGAAAAACAGCCTTTTACGATGCTCATTGCATGTTGTAAAAGGCTCAGACGACGCGCAAATGCGCGTCAAGGAAGGCCCTGTCATAAAGGGAGACGACGCGCATTTACGACGCTCATTTACGACACATAATGCGTATCAAGGGAGACCCTGTCATAAAGGAAGACGGCACGCATTTGCATGTCGTAACCTTACGACGCGCGTGTTAATGATAGGCAATGCGTATCAAGAAAGCCCCAGTCAAGAAAGGCCATATCATAAATGAAGATGACACACATTTTTGCGTATCATAATTTTAAATGTTTAAAAAAAATATTATTTATAGATTTACTTATTTTCAAATTAAATTTGTATTTAATGTTTCATAGTAGAAATTAAAATATAATATACAAAAATAGAATCTATTGCATCAATTTAATGTCATACAAATAATCGTTTCATGGAAAGAGGTTTTCCTAACTATATAACCTAATACTACATTGTTATTAAGGAACACCTTCTTGTTTCTACTTCTTATTGTTATGCTTCTGTTTCCGCATGATACCTGTTTTCAACGTCAACACATTAGTATTCAGAAAGGCTTCAAGCATCATCAATCTATGTTATAAAATATTAAAATTTAATACACATGTAGTAACATACATTTTTCCAAGAATCCAAACTTCAATACAACCAATTAATGAATAACTCTAAATGTGGTCTGGGGTTGAATGATGTACATCATGAACCAACACAACACAACATATATGATAGTTACCTTGAATTGCAAAGTGCTGTAAATGGCATCACTTATAAGCTCCCGGTTGGATACATATCATGAACCAACACAACAAGTGACTGAGGAGACAACACACATTTTATAAACAACACTTATTTCTCAACAAATATAATACATAAAAATTTAGTGAAAAAAGTTTGACCTGGTCTTCAAATAACGACCATGGACTTCCTGACCCTAGCTGCCCAACAGGGGTCTGCAGAGTTGACTTTACAATTAATCCATACTGAAATACAATAGGAATTTAGAGTTGGCTTTGTGATGCTTGTTACGCCACCACTGTGTTCTGGTTGGGCTGTATAAAGAAATCAAAACATTGATAAAAGGGTATTTTAGTCTTTTGTCAAATATATATCTATATATATATAAGGAATGAACTTCGTTCCATCAGTTTGGCCAACCAAACCTGCAATGGAATGGAATCTCAAATTCCAATTCCGTTGGAACTCACCCGAATCATATGCATAGCCTCACGTGATCTCAACATGGAGTTTCCTTGAGCAAGTGTTGGTGTACTGGAAGTCAACAAACCAGTGGTGGAATTCATGATGGAAGAAGAGGGGGGTCTTGCCATCTTGATGCCTCTAGTCATCCCACGCATAACACCCATACCGCTTCCAGCTGGCAACATGCGTACACCTGTAAAATGTAATTTACAATATTTTAAGCTCAAGTCCAAAACAAATAAATAAACTTACATACAAATAAGATTAGTTTCAATTCATCACATAACTAACATCACAACAGATGATTAGTATCAATCCAAAGTGGTTGGGGTGTATGGTTTAATAACCTCTTCACCTTGTCCATCTGTACCCCTAAAGGATCAAATACAAAACAAGCAATTTGATTAGTAAAAAAAACGTTCCTTTATGTATATGCATTTTGAGATCAAAATTTATATGGTTACATGCAAAAAAGAGCAATGTACTATCATTGATTTGTTTATTATAGCATCATACTTTCTTTCTTTCCTATTTCAGCATTGTACTATGAAAACTCTACCCAATTATAAGAATGCCAAATTTCACTAATAGATTTGGGTAGATTTTCAATGCAAAATGCCTATAAAAAAAACTGAAAGCACACTTCTGTAATAGAAAGAAATAAAAGTTATAAAACACAAATAAAAAAAAGTACATTGTGTTTCTTGCATTCAGCCTTAATGTATATGTATTTGTTATCAATTAAAATCAAGAAATTTCCCATGTACCACAATTAATATCTCGAGAGTTGTAGAATTCCATGTCAATTTTGGTGAAATTTTGAAATGGATAAACAAGATTTTCAATCTATCACTATACATTTTTTGATCAACCAATTCATAATACAATAAAAATAGTACCAAAGATTGATTAATTCAATCAAGTCTTTAAAAAATGGTGCAACACTTACTGTTTGTGAAAGCAAGGAATGTAGAGCATGCCCAAATTCATGGAAAAGGGTATCCACATCAGAGTGGTTAAGTCTCACGATTGATGAATTATGGGGCTTTGAGAAGTTATAAACAACAGCAATCACCTGCACAATAATAATCAACAAAAACATTTCATCACTTTTTTTCTATTCTTGGTAATGGAATACAATAATAATTCCTGCAATTTTCCCTTGATGAACAAAACAAAATATACTGTAATAACAACTTACTGGCAACTGATATTCTGTTTTGGAAACTGCACGCCCTCCTCTTATGGCAAAATGAGCACAACCAGGATACTTCCCCTGTCTACAATTTAAATCAAGGTATATATACCCTAAATCCCCCTGAGATGCATTTAATAACAAAACAAACAACAGTTAGTTACATTTTTGGTCCCCTAATTTTTGCCATTTTGGTCTTATTTGAAGTTTTTGGTATCTTTTTCAAGAAAATTACTATATTTTTGGGGCCAAAGTCGAAATCAATCAGGTATTACTTGGAAAAAGGACCAAAAAAGTTATAAGAACCTCAAAGGATGACCAAAACTGCAAGAGAAAACTTTTGGGACCAAATTGACAAAATAATCCATATTCAGAGACCAAACATTTAATTTACTCGATAAAAAAAATTGGGAATATTCATAGAAATGGATATGTACCTCATCAGGATGATGAAGGGCCATTTTGATTATATATGGATGCCATGATTCACCGGGTGCAAGAGGAAAATTTAGGAATTTCATTCCAAACAAGGAAGTCCGAATACCTGCAAGAAAAGTAATGATAGATTTATAATTACTTGGATATCAAGGCAGCTTTGATGGAATGTGGAAGGGAAACCGTCACAACAAATCAAGTCACCACCATCTCCACATATATTACACGTGTCATCATTAGGATCATCTCCTTCAACATCAACAATATTAAATTTGATAGTATTTGAATCCTCTTCTTTCTTCCAAGATTCCAGGAGACACTTCAGAAAAGAAGATCCAGACTGGAAATATAAATTTTTTAGTGTCTGATTGAGTTTCCCTTTTCCTCATACTGCAACTTGCCACCTGGCATAACAACACCCAAATCTATCATCCATGCAAGAAGATTTCGTTTCCCACTGTATCAAACACCCTTAATCATCTTCATCATTTCCCTTACTAGAGATTCTAGCAACAAGTTGTGGCTTTCTACTCTGTTGACCTTTCTGACTTACTTTTGGTTGACTTTTTAATGATTTATTACCTAATTTTACATCAGATTTATGCGTTTGCTTCTTCTTTTTACCATCTTTTAGCTTCTTCTTAACTGGAGCTTCACTTCCACTTCCACTTCCACCACTCATGACTATTTCACCCTCAATTGTACCCTTGTCACTATTACTTTTCTTTTTCTTTTTCTTATGTTTTTTTCAGCTTATCTTTATCGCTTCTGACCATTGTAACAACCCTGAGTAGTACACTGATTTTCTCATCAGGTATAGGGGTAAAAGCGGACCCAGAAGAAAATAATTGGTGCAATAAGCTCTCCAATGTACTGCAAAACAGCTAAATTCAATCACCTTGATGTATAATAACCTCATAAAAGAGCTACTTCTAGTTATTCACAAAAAAAAAAAAAAAAAAAAAATCCAAGTCTAGATAGCTCAGTTTTGTCCCTCAACGACACAATCAATATCAATATGTATTATAAACTAGTGAGAGGATTAAAGATAAACTGAAAAAAAAAAACCTCTGATCTGGAGTAAAATGATTGCAATAAGTATAAAGGCTTTGGTTGGTTGGCAAATAAGTACAAGAATAGTACCTCTGGGAGGAATCAATAGCAGCAATAACATAGATCATAAAAACAGCCTGCATGAAATTAAAAAGGTCAACAGAAGCATACAGATCCCCACCAAAGAAAAATCAGTCCAAAAACTTGATGACTATTACACATCTTCTACACAAATTTGCCTTTGTAGTTCCTCACTAAAAATTAAATCAATCAGATAAGGAATGTCACACCCCAGAACCAGACGGCGGAAACGTCCGGGGGCTGTTGTGACTCAATTGAATACCATCACAATGAATATACATGAAACATAACATCATACATCACCAAGCATTGTAATAATACAACTGGTCGCGTTTACATTTAGTACATTGTTCCCTAACATTACATGCCCAAAAAGTAGATTGTTCGGTGCTAATTAAACAAGAAGCAAAACATCACTGAGTACACTTATCCCTTCGATTTATCTGTTACCTGAGAATACAAGTATTTTGAAAAACGTCAACCTATGAAATGTTGGTGAGTTCATAAGTAATGTTTGAAATCCAATGTTTGTATTGTTTTGAAAACCACCAGAAAATCCGATATTTTCTGAAAATAGTATAGTGTAAAAAAAATGTGAAGATCCACAAGAGTTCCGAGAGTTCCATATGTGTATCGAGCGTTGTAGTGTTAGTAGTTTTGAATTTGTTATTGATTCGAGACCGAATCAATTCGTTTAACAACGATTTTGGTATTGTTGTGCATTGTGTCGGTAGTCGCGGTGCCAATATTTGATCAAGTCGCGTGTATTGAATTTGCCTTGAAAGTTTACTGTTTTCAGCCCCTCATTGTTTGTAAAATTTACTTTTTCAACCCTCTAATTAAATAACTTTCTGGTTTGGTCCTTAAATCATTTTTCTTGACATTTTAACACCAAAAATTATTGAAATTAATATTTTTCAGCATATTTTTCATTAAAAACTGTTTAAGTCCCTGAAATTGCAGTTTTCTCGGTTATAACCCCTCTTTTTCGCAGTTTTTACAATTTTGGTCCCAATTGGAATTTTTTTGCAACTTTGGTCCTTTTTAAGTTTGAAAAGCATTTTAAACCTTTGAAAAGTACTTGTGACACTAGTAGTCCACTGTTTTACAGAAAAACACAGTTTTGGCCCTCCAAAACAGAAAATTTCGCATAATGGGCCCTATTGGGCCGAAATTGTCATTTTTAGCCCATTAAGCTTGAAATTTATGTTTTTAGTCCTCCAAAAGAGTATATTTTCAGAAAATACATTATGGAAACTGTTTTGACTCATCTCACCCATCAGATTTCGAAATATTTCATTTTGGGCCCTGCAACTTTGTATTTTTAACATTTGTGTCTAAAAAAAATGAGTTTTTAGCCCAAAGTATGTATTGTTAAGCCACTTAGCTATTTTTCTTGGCATACTTTGTATGTAGTAGTATGTTTTATGTTAGTATTATTTAACATAAAGTATATCTCAGTTTTTAGTGGTTTATGACTAGATCCAACATCATAATCATACCAAACACACATATAAGCATAGAAATCATACAAAGCATACGCATAATGATAGATCTACACCTTTGCTTGTATTCTCCCCCACAAAAACTTATAAAAACCAAAAATAAGGGGGTATGAAGCTCACCTTTTTTTGAAGGTTTTGATTTTTGATGAAGATGTGAAGAGGTTTTTGGCCCTAGCAAGCTTCTTGAGGAGCTTTACAACTTAGATGGCTCTAAGATGTATGATTCATGAAATGGAAAGGGTTAAGAGGAGATTTTGAAGAAATCAAGAAGCTAAACCATGGATATAAGTAAAAACTTACCTAGGATGATGATTTTTGGTGAAGAGTCCTCTTAAAAGCACATACCAACTCGAGATTTTTGATGGAAGAGGGAAGAGGTTTTTGAGAGTGTTTAAGAGAGTTTTTGAAAGAAAAATAAAGGTGGTGAGAGGGTTGGCCGAGAATATGGAGAGAAGGGAGAGAGAGATCATAACCTTGTTATTTGTGAGGTAATAGTTAGTCTTGAAACATGAGATGCTACCATAGATATATGGTGGTTAAACATGAGTTGTCACATGCATATTTGGTCTTCATTTATCCACTCTTTTCTTTCTTTCTTTCTTTTTTTTTTATTTTAATAAACATGGGCTGATTTGGGCTTAAGAGAAAGGAAAGAAATCATCATGGGCCCACACTCGAATTTATGAAGCCCAAAAATAAATTTTCGGCCCATTGGGGCAAATGAAATCTTTTATGGCCCAACAAGGCTCATTAGAGGTAAGATGGATTATTGTAGGCCCACATGGCCCAAAATGCTAAAGTTTTATGAATGTGGTCTATTTAGAGCCCAATTAGAACTTCTAGGCCCAATAGGAGAATTTTTAGTTCATAAGGAACTTGGACCGGGATTACTAAGGTTTCCAACCCTTAGTTAAACATATGAGGTGTATTTTAAACGAGGATAGAGTATTGTATTCACTTAGAGTACATGCTTTTACAATGGATGATGTTTATATGAGAATAGAATTTCCTAGCTAAAAATGCGAGTTGTGACATCATCCCCCCGTTAGAGGGAATTTCATCCCGAAATTCTTTCTAAGGATAGGTTCGTGAATGAGAGAATAGGCACTTCATCTGATCTTCACGTTTCCCATGTGAATTTCGGTCCACGCTTAGCGTTCCATGGAACCTTCACAATCATAATGGGGCTTTGCTTTGTATGTTCTACTTCCCTATCCAATACCTCGACCGGTTCTTTGACGAACATGAGATTCTTGTTTGCTCCTATTTCTCGTAAAGGAATGATAAGAGTCTCATCTGATGTGCATCTTTTCAGATTTAAGACACAGAAAACAGGGTTTACGTTGCTGAGCTCTACAGGCAGCTACAGCCTATATGTCTTTGGACCAATCCGAGCAAGAATCTCGATCAGTCCAATGTATCGTGGGTTTAGTTTTCTCGGTTCCTAAAGCGAATCATTCAATTCCCAGGAGATTCCTTTAATAACACGCGATCCCCGACTTGCCATCCTAATGGCTTACGCCGCTTGTCAGCATAGCTCTTTTATCGGTCTTGCGATGCTTGAGGTCCAGCTTTGATTTGGATTATCCTCTCTGTTGTTTCGCTAGTGGTTTCTGGTCTCATGAGAGTACTACCGAGTGATATGCATTTATGACTATAAAGAGTTTTCGAAAGGAGCATTCTTGATGCTCGTGCGATAGTTGTTATTGTATGAGAATTTAGTCAAGGGAAACCGGGTATCCCCTGACTTGTTGAACTCAAACACCTAGACTTGTAGCATGAATTTGAGTGGTCGAATGGTTCGTTCACTTTGGCTATTGGTTTGAAGGTGGTAAGCAAGGCTTATGTCTAGTTATGTGCCCATAGCCCTCTGAAGTGACTGCCATAGTCTTGAAGAAGATCTGTTATCTCGATCCGAGATAGTAGATACCGATATTTCATGGAGTCTCACAATCTCCTTGATATAAATCCCAACTAATATTTCCGTCTTGTTTGATTTCTGTATTGTCAGGAAACGGGCGGATTGGGTTAACCTATCGACGATCATCCGGATAATGCCCATCTCAACTTGCATAGCTACAAGTTCGTTCCTCGACTTCAAGAGTTTTATCTGTCCATGTAGTGTTTTCTTCACAATATTCTCCAGCTTTGATGCCTTCAAGGCTGGTCGTAGGTGTTGATAGTGTTTGTTCTTGTTTTGTGGGCAGACGAGTATGCTATTGATAATAAAAAGGTTAACTAGGAGTGGTTGAGAGAACTTGGTTCGTAGGGTCCATGAATAGCATGGGAGCATTCGTTAGTCCGAAGGGTATCACAATGAATTTGAAATGGTCGTGACGAGTTCGGAAAGCAGTTTTTGAAATGTCGTCTTCTCGGACTCGAAGTTGTTGATAACCAATTCTTAGATCTATTTTAGAGAAGTAGCTAGCTCCTTGGAGCTGGCCAAACAGATCGTCAGTCCGAGGGAGTGGGTATCAATTTTTGATGGGAAGCTTATTCAATTTCCTAAAATCGATGTACCTTCTGAAGGATCCGTCTTCTTGAAGAACAAGATCGGAGCTCTTCAGGAAGAGAAGTTTGGTCTGATGAATCCTTTACACAACAATTCTACTCAGCTAACTAGATAACTTGTGCATTTTCGGGAAGAGTCATCCTATAGGGTGAATTAGCAATTGATGTGGTTCCCGATATGAGGTTGATTCGAAATTCAACCTGTCTCTCTGGGATATTCCCAAAAGTTCCTCGGGAAACACATTTGGAAAAATCACATGCTACTGGAATCCCTTGTATGCCTACCTCTTCTTCGGTCTTGTCCACAACATGAGTGAGGAGAACGTAGTTCTTCTGGTGCAGGCACTTCTGCACCTTGATGCACGAGATAGGAAGAGGATTGGCGCCAGGTTTATCACCATGGATTATTAGAGTTTTTGTGATTAGGAAGGTGAAGGCAAACGGCCTTCTCGCGACACATAGTATCAGCACGGTGGGGGATTAACCCAACCATGACGATTTTCACATTAAAACTCCTAATATTTACTAGCAT